GAACTAACCCTGATTGTCACGTTGAACCTCATCCTACCAAAGTCAGGTGGTGACAGTTGTTCTAGGAAGTGGACTCTGACCCTAGAAACTGAACACACAGTACACATGTACTGTATTTTCTTTGTTAAATAAAATTTGTAATATAATTTTGTAAATCTGGGAGTGCTTTAAATATGATGTTAAAACAGGGATTTATGTCGTTACAAGTGGGTTTTTCAACATTATCTAGAATAGTAGGAATGTTCCATTGTAACGAATGTAACATACATAATCAATATTTTTCAATAATCTCATTTAATGTGAAAAAGTTACTGCTCTTAAAAATAAGAGACTATTGTAGCATTGTTTTGTGAACTAGGACAAATAATATAACTGAGTTATATTTGCTATCTTAATAAACTTTGGTAAAAATTGATTATAAAATTTTGTAACAGATGTAACATGAAAAGGACACTACATTTTTGGTAACTAACGAAATGCCAAACTTCTCTGAAACTTTACATTTTTTTATTGCACAATTCGTATGATACATATATCACAGTATCAGAAAAAAGTAAAACCATTGGAACTTTTATAAAATTATTTATTTATTGATGGTCATGTGATAATTACATGTAATGGATATAACCTACAACTCCAATGTACTATACAAATTCAGTTAAAAACAGTAACCCCTCTAGAGTTAACAGGAACAGGAAGATCAACTTTTAAAATACATTTTCTGATTCATATCATATCTCATATTTTCTAGCTGGCCATTTCAATCTCCCCTAGTAGGCAGCATAGCATTGACCAGCATATCTCCATTTGCAGCTATTTCACTTACAGTCCCATTAGTCCCATAAAATTCAACATTTTCATACAAAACTGCTACATAGTCTCCAACACAGATGTCTATAACTGTTGTTTCTTTATCTTGATTTTTACCAACAGTAGAGCTTGGATGTGCAAACACATTTTTCATTGGCCACACAAATTCTCTGGGGTAAATTTCACAGCACTGAAAATCAGATGTGCTTCCTAATTGAAAATAGTGCAAACCTTTTAGTCCAGGAATTGCTGGAACATTTTAACTTGTCCACTCATGTCCACTCTCATCTCTGCAGGCTTGAATCATTGTTTTTGAGAGAAATAGTACTTTAACTTTGTCAGATACATTTTTAGCTACTTCAAAGAACGCCTCTGCACTGTTGATGACATTTTTCTCCTGAAGAATACTTCTCCATACAGCTCTCTTAATTGTGCCATCAACACCATCAACTGGACCCTTTCCATGAGCTGTCCCAAAAAAGTCATAGTGATGGAACTCAAACTGGGATGAACAGTCTTTGGCTCACAGACAAGAGAAACAATATACCTGTTCTTAAACTGGCTAGGAGCTCCATCTGAGCATATCTGGAGGGTGGAATTATGTGTATTGTTCTTCAAATGTTTATCTAAAATAACAACAAAACACTGAAAACTTGTCATGTTGCAAGTCATCACTCACTACTACATAATTTGTGCTAGAACCATTCTGCATTATAACACAAGTATATAGTGTAATCCCTTCAGATACTCAGTGAGCAGCCATTATTTCATTCTGCTGTCGAATCGCAAAGTTCTCCGAATAGTCTATCTGCATCACTGCTTCTGTGCTCAGATTATTTTTTAGGAACTTCATTGCTCTTAGCTGAGTCTTTGCAATAAAGCAGTGATGCCTCATCATTGTCAGCTGTTCAGTAAGAACTTTGACTGCATATTTTGCAGTAGATTTTATGGCTTCTTGTTCACTGAATCCCACTGATAGTATATAATTTCATCATCAGATGAAATATTTCCCACCAACTGGTCAACAAAGGCAGACACCTTATCACATTTTGTGCATTTGTTCAGGCAACAACTTGATATTCACATGCAAACATAGTTTCTCACAATCTCGTCAAATGTAGGTAAGCTGAAACTAGCATTTTTAAATCCATCTAAAAGTAACCGGAAGTTCTTGTGATACTTGCAACAGCAAACATTGTGGTCTTTGTCTGATGATAATTTCACATGTGCAGGTATTCACTTTGCAAATAATGATTTTCCTACTTTAACCCCAGGATGCTCTTGCTTGAAAAGTCTGTGTGCCTTCATCACAGTCATATTCACCGTTTCTTTTTGTTTCCTTGGCACCACCCTTATGAACTGTTATATAATCCTTCATTCCTGGATATTGTTGTGATATAATGTCACTCTCATAACATGCTACAACCAAACGTTTGGTCTCATTATCACTGTCCTCACGTGTGTCTGGCTGTTTTTTACTTTCAATTCCATATTGAACTGCTAGTTTTTTCACAATTAACCTCTGCTTTCTTGGTGATACTGGTAAAGCTCTCTACTCACTGGACTGCTTTCCCATATGACTGCGGGGTGATGAAAGACTTTGAAGGGCTCTCATTTAAAGACAAGTCCAGATTAGGATCAAGTTCTTTCTTGCATTTTCCCATAGCTCTCGTCCTCTCTCTTGATTTTGCTGCCTCTGAGCATTTCTTACTCGCTGTCCAGGATTGTCTATGAGCTTTCTGGTCTTTGCATTTTTTCTTTTTGTTACAACTATCTTTTCTGCACTCATCTTGGCCCTATACTTTCTCATCCTCTCTGCAGCTGTCATTGCTAGGTTTTTGCCAGGTGGTTCTGGTAAATCTTCAATCTGAATAAAAGAGAAAATTGATGAAACATAATATAACTGATGTAACAACTTCACCTGTTACATCCGTTATAATGCACTTCTTACACCAGTTACATGCATAATTTTTCTTAAACATAACCTCATGCAAAGATGATTGAAGTAATGATTAAATGTGATGAAAATCATTAGAAGAATGTGTAATTACAAAGGTTTCAGTAACTTAATGACCAAGATATAGAGAAGTTTGTAATAAAATGTAATGGATGTAACAGATCAATAGCTGATCCATTTCATTTCCATTATATCCACAAGGAATCTAAATTATTATATTTTCTACATGGATTTATAATCTAAAGATACTTACTTTTTACTATTATCAACAAGTCATCCAGGCTCTCAATGTAACAGAAGAAAATAGTTTCCTTTATATGCTCAAATGTTCAGTCACCATGTGCTGCAAAACAACTTCTGGAAAAATCCAAGATGGCACCTGATCATGTGACTGTTGCCAAAAATATGATTCTTTTACATTTAGAGATATGACAGGAGCAAAAAAATTATTTAGTGAAAAAATTTTCATTCTAGAATGTCCAGTTTTCCATGGAATTACCCAGTAAAATCATGGAACTGATAAAAATTTGACATTATATTAGGGTTGTCGTTACATCTGATGATGTTATAATCAGGTTAAACTGTAATTTATTATTATTATTATTATTATTTTATTTTAAATTTAATTTAGTTAATACTGATTTTTGATAATTTGATAATAAATTATATGTAATATTAAGATGTTCAGGTGCTAATGATAAATCATTATGTCTATCANGCTTATCCGACCTTAGGCGAACTTATTTCTCCCGCCTAAACTCTATCTTTTTATATGGATTGAAGATAGCGCTGATTGACCAATCAGCGCTTCGTAGCGCTCTGATCGGTCCGCAGGTGGTCCGATGCTCGGCGGCCAATCATCTATCCTGCTTTCAAAACTAACGGTCGTTTCCCGATCCGAGTTTCTATGGCGACAACCATTGCTCGTTTGAAAAAGAGAAAAAGCGCGGGAAACGTACGTCCAGACGATTCCATCCCGACATCGCCTTTTGCTAACAATAGATATTTAGAATTGGAAGGAATTATAATTATTCTAAACTATTAAACTAAAGATATTAATAAATGTACGTGATTTTATCATATGAACATAATGATAATTTGATTTTTGGTGAATTTTTTAAAATAATATCGCCTGACTGACCTATATTGCCGTTGGACAGTTTACGAAAAAAACATAAACAAGATGGCGATGGTAAAGGGTTGAAATCGACCCCCTTTCGACCCTCGTGTATTAATCGACCCCTGGAGACCTCTTATCGACCCCAAGGGGTCGATATCGACCACTTTGGGGACCCCTAATCTAGGCCTTTCACGCAACAAGAAGGTGTTCCTGAAGGCTCTATTTTGAGTGTGACTCTGTTCCTAATTAAAATTAATAGCATAGCTAACTGTCTTTCCCCTAGTGTGAAACACTCTTTGTATGTGGATGACTTTCAGATCTCCTGCCAGTCTAGCAACATGAGTTTTATCGAGAGACAACTACAAACCTCCCTAAATCACATAGACCATTGGTCCAAGACTAATGGTTTTAGTCTTAACATGGAGAAGACCTCGTGCATCCACTTTTGTCGAAGGCGTGGTTTGCATTTGGATCCGGAAATTTACCTAAAAAGAGACAAAATCCCAATGGTGAATGAGACTAAGTTTTTGGGTGTTTCTTTCGACCAAAAACTGACATTTTTGCCACACTTGCGCAACCTGAAGAGTAGATGTTTAAAATCTCTAAACCTTTTAAAGGTACTATGCTGCTCATCCTGGAGAGCAGACAAAGTTTCAATGCTCAGGATTTATAGGGCCCTTGTCCACTCTAAGATGGACTACAGTTGCATTGTTTATGGCTCTGCGCGAGAATCTACTCTTCAGATGCTGGATCCAATTTACCATCAAGCATTACGTCTGTGCACCGGTGCATTTTGAACTTCCCCTGTTCAAAGTTTGTATGTGGATGCTTATGAGCCTCCACTATCTCTCAGGAGAGAACAGTTGTCTCTTTTTTATTACATTAAACAAAAATCTCAGAAAACACTTACAGCTGATTGTCCAGATACTCAGCTGAAAAGATTATTTGCCACTCGGATGAGTTGTGTCTTTACATTCGACATAAGAATGGAGAATGTAAGCAGCACGATTGACCTAGACACAAGCAACATCTCACATGTTGAGGTTAATAGTACTCCACCTTGGTCAACTTCACTGATCGATGTTGATTTAAGCTTAAAGCAGTTTCCGAAAGAAACCACGCCAGACTGCGTCTATAGACAGCGCTTCGCAGAAATTCAACATTGTGGACAGGAATTTAATTCCTATTTATACTGATGGATTGAAATCGAATAACTATGTTGGCTTAGCCTTTGTCTGCCAAAATGAAATTGTGGCAGAACAAATAGCACCAAATTCTTCCATCTTTTCTGCGGAGTTGCAGGCTATTTATTTAGCCCTAAAATACATAAATAGAAAAGGTCATTGTTGCTGCGTGATTTACACTGACTCAGTTAGTGCACTTCAGGCTTTGATCTCGTATGAACCTAGTTCTCACTCCATAGTTTTTAAAATTCAGGAACTAATTTGTCATCTTTTTGCAAGGAATTTCTCTATAAAATTGTGTTGGGTCCCAGGCCATGTAGGAATAAGAGGAAATGAAGAAGCTGATGCAGCAGCAAAGTCAGCTAGTCCTTCACAGCATGAAATGCCTATCGAAGGAAGTGATTTGAGGCTAGTTGTTAAAAAACGACTAGCAGAGAGATGGCAAAATATGTGGAATGCACAAATTCACAATAAACTACACAAGATCAAACCTTTGATAGAAAATTGGACACATAAGAAATTTTATGACAGGAGATCTGAGGTTGTCCTTACTCATTTGAGAACTGGACACACTCGACTGACTCATCAATACCTTTTGAAGGGAGATGACGAACCAGTATGTCAGCACTGCAAGTGTACTGTAAGTGTGAAACACATATTTTGCAACTGTGTTGTTTTTGACCAGGGTTGTAGACAGCATTTCAGAAATGCAAGCTTTAGAGAGATTTTGGGCCAGAGTCCAAATCTGGACAATATAGTGGACTTTCTGAAAGTCATTAATATGTATAGAGAAATTTGATTATTCATTTATTGTACAGTTTTATTTACTTTGTGTTACCTATTTAAATTATTGTATATTTTTTGTTGTTGTTTATTTATTTATTTATTTATATTACCATTGGTTGTTTAATGGTTAAACTGTTATGTTTTGTTTATTTGTTTTTATGTGTATATATGTGTCTTTTTATTTATTATATATCTGAAATTGTACCATGTGTCATGGCACAGTATGGCCTGTATGGCTCTTGTGCCAATAAAAAACTAACTAACTAACTAACTCACTAATAGGTCCTGTATGTGTCCTTGTTGTCCTTTTTGGTTTATTGGCATTATCCGTCTGGATAATTGGTCCTCCAAAACACGAAATTTCACTTTGCTGTAACTTCCGAAAAAGTGGGCCAATTTTTATAAAACCAACACCAACGTGTTCCTCTCGTCTTTCCGGTTCAGATGATGTATCACATCACAAATTTAAAGTAAAATCCTCGGAAATACTGCGCACCAAACTGGAGCTCTTCAGCACACAACTTCTCTCGTTGATTGCTCGACGCCCTCAGTCTGCTATAGACATTCTATATATGAAAGGGATAGGAGGCATTACTCAAAGGTATATCCTCAAAGGAGATGAAAAGAAGTGACAAGAAGGTAGACATAAGTGAAAGATACTTGGCAGAGGCTGAAGGGGGAGGAAGTAGATGGAATAGAAGTGATAAGAGGAAGTGGGAGGTCATGAGCCGCACCGGGTCATTTATTAGAACAAAACAGATATATACAATATAAAACACAACAAAAGTAAAAGGATTACAATAATTGTAAAAGGCAGCAGCAGTTCATAATACCCCATTAGATGACAATAGCTGCTTAAACCATTGTAGTGTTTAAATAGGTATAATAATAATACATACTGAATTAGGTAATTTACAAAAGTAGGCAGCAAACAGTATACCCCAGTTAGGAGTTGAGAGCTGCTTTGGAGTATACCAATATTGATACAGATACATTGTAATACAAAATACTACATTACAACAGTTGTAAGCTATGCAGATGTTTGTAATATAAATCACATTCAAACAAAAGTCGGCAGCAGACAATTTACCCCAGTCAGGAGTTGAGAGCTGCTTTGGAGTTTACTAATTTAATACAGATAACTTGTAAAACAGAATACTACACAACATCAATTGTGAGGCTATACATACATTTGTAATATAAACCACATTCAAACAACAGTCGGCAACAGACAATTTACCCCAGTCAGGAGTTGAGAGCTGCTTAGAATTTCCCCATAGGGAGTGGAAAGCCGCCATGACTATTGTAGTAACTAAAACAATACAATGGCAATATTAAGCCAAATTAACTAGAAAATTTACAAATGTTGTCAGCATACAATTAACCACAGTCGGGAGTTGAGAGATGCCTTAGAGGTTTGTAATGTATAAAAGATAAACCATAAAACAGAAGAAAAATAATACAACAGTTGAAAAGAGTCTGCAGAAAAATCATTCATCTCCATTTTGGAATTGAAGGCTGCTTCCTTTTCACTGAATATTTACATAAAGACATTTGAATAATCAATATTATTCCAGATGTGAGAAAGTTCCCAGCTTTTGGTCATTTGTTGACTGAGAGTCACGTTGTCCTTCGTTGACATCTCTTATTTAGAGGGCTCTAACAATTAGTGATCCAAGTTTGTCCATACTTGAGGACATTACCAACCGACCAAATTGTAATTATGAAATGTTCCACCAGAGAGTGACGAGCGAACAGCATTGAAACACTGCATAGATGACACCATGAGAATCAATCCTGCCCCATGATGATACCGAAGACCAGGTGCAGTATAGTGGCACCGTCGGTATCGGGGCTAAATCTCCTCAGGGGAGAAAGGAATTGACTGTGGGTCAACAGAGAAAAGCTGTAGAGCTTGAGGAAGGCAGTCAAGTGGCAGTAACAGCAATGAAACGCTGCATAGATGACACCATGAGAAACAATCCTGCCCCATGATGATACCGAAAACCAGGTGCAGTATAGTGGCACCGTCGGTATCGGGGCTTAATCTCCTCAAGGGAGAAAGGAATTGACTATGGGTCAACGGAGAAAAGGTGTAGAGCCTGAGGAAGGCAGTAAGGTGGCAGTCCCTGTGAATAGCCGGATGTGAGCAAGTCGAAGGCATTTAGTCATTTGTTGACTGAAGAGTTGTCCATCGTTGACATCTCTTATTTCGAGGGCTCTAGTTGCTACTATGAAGCTAATCAATTCCTTGTATATGTTGTTATTGTCCACAAGTATATTCATCTCGCATGGCCATGCTATGTTTCTTGCAGTGTTGTGCTAATTAGCTTTGCCCTTTGTTGTTGATATTGTTGATATAATTTGCAGTCATATATCAGGTGTTTAGTGTCTTGTATTGATATCCCATCACATTCACACATTTCGGAGTCGCGATGTCCAAACCTATGTAAGTAGTACTGAAAGTCCCATGATTGGTGAAAAGCTGTGTACTTATATAATCAATATATATATGGTGAAGTTTGAGCCTTTGATGCACACTTGGGCAAAAGCTATAAGTTACTCTTCCCATCTTTTCCTCTTCCCATTGTTGTTGCCATATACAGATCATGGTGTGATGTATAAGATTTTTGATGTTTATGGGTGCTATTTCTAGAGAGGTGAGATCTGTGTTGTTAGCGGCTGCTTCCTTCGCTAATCGATCTGCCTCTTCATTCCCTGCAGTACTTACGTGAGCCCTAGTCCATTGTAATGTGATAATACTGTTTGTGTTTGCCAATTCCTTTATTATCTGTTGGTGTAAGTTATCACTCTTTCTGTCACTGATAATACTTAGAAGGGCATCTCTGCTGTCCGAGCAGATGCATATATGTTTGTAATTAAGGTAAGTCGTTTTATTAACATACTGTAAAGCTTTAAGTATGGCGTACCGTTCGGCTTGAAAAATTGTACTTTGATTGTCTAGACAAAAGTTGTCCCTCCATACAAAAAGATTTTTCTTTGAATTTAAATGTACTATGCTGGCTCCAACGCTGTTACCGTTTTTGGATCCGTTTGTGTATATTACATGTAGTGTGTTGTTGTACCCCTCCTGATCATCCAATTCTATATTAGGAAATCTAGCTGGAGGAAGACATGGAGAGTATGAACACTTATCTGCTAGTTTTAGACTTGGGTGAAGGAAGTTGTCTACCTCCAGATTAGGAAGGAGGCCAATTCTACTATATGCACGAAGTTGTCATCTTTTTCCTCTGAAGTACATAGATTGTTTAATTTCCACACTGCCATATTTGCTTTAACCTTCAAGGAAATCGGTGGAATTTTAGCGAGAATTTGAAGAGCTGCTGTGGGGGCAGTTCGATATGCTCCCGTAATCCTTAGAAGACATATTCTTTGTACTGTACCTTTTGAAGTGCTCTTTTGTTGTGGGCTTTTGTGGCAGTATGCCCCCAGATGGGAGCCCCATACAGAAGGATCGGCTCGATAACTTGTTTGTATATATTAGAAATAGTATCTTTATTCATTCCCCACTTTTTCCCTGACAAGTAACATAATAAGTTTGCCATTTTAGCAGCTTTGTCGCAGGCATGGTCTATCTGTTTGTTCCATTTTAGTCCTTGATCAAAAATTATTCCTAAGTATTTTAAACTAGTTGTGTGTGGTATTCTGTCATTGGCTATTCTTAGCGATGGGGACTTTTGTAGCTGATGTCCTTTAGATAAAAGCATGCACTCTGATTTTCTGATGTTTATTGTTAATTTGTTATCTTTGCTCCATTCATATATACTTGTTAATAATTTAGCTGCTTCTATTTGCAATTTTTCGCTATTGTTGCCTGATAATAATGCCAAGGTATCATCAGCGAAACCTTGCAGTATCCATGGAACCTTTATTGAGTCAGGGTTAATAGAGTAGACCATTATACATTATGTTCGATAGTCCTGGTCCCGATCAGGACCCCTGTGGACAACCACAGTTTACTTCCCTTATTATTGGAGAGTCTATGTCCAGAATTCCAACCTTCCTTTCATGTAAGTAATCTTTTAATGTCAGATAAAGATTTTTAGGGCAGTTAAATTGTTTTAGATTATGAAACAAGGCCAGCCACCATAGGGAATTGAACGCATTTTTATAGTCGATGGATATCATTAGTGTGTGTTGCCCCTTCTTCCATGCATTTTCAATGAATCTAGTAGTCTTGTGTAGGATGTGATACGTTAATCTTTTTGGTACAAATCCATATTGCTCTGGGTGCATCATTTTATTACTATGCAAATAAAAGTTTATCCTGTTTATTATAAGTCCATCGTACACTTTACCAAGTACTGGCAAAAGGCTAATGGGCCTAAAATCAGTGGCTTCTTTAGTGATGTTTTTCCTACCTTAGGGATAAATTTAATCATCGCTGTTTTCCAGCACCTGGGAAAGCAATGCTTCTCAAAACATGTATTGTAAGTGACCTCAAAGGCCGTTGGTATCGCGTCAAATGCTTTTTTCACCATTTTAGGAGTTATTCCCTTATGCCCTGGAGCCTTATTATTGCATAGCGATTATATATATATATTATAGCATTTTAGATTTCTCTGTACGTAAATGGTCTGTCATCTGATGAATTCGGTGGTGTAGTGGTATCATTTCTTATTATTTTTTGTCTTTCATTATCATGATCTGGATTGTCCTTGGGAAAATGGATGTCGAGTAGATGACTATATGTCTCCTGTAGATTAGTTGTTAAGGTGCCGTCTTCCTTGTATATGTTCATGGGGATAGTAGCTGTTTTTCTGGGCTTAAGTATCATATGGTAGGGTTCACTCCAATCCTTTTTGTTTCCAATGTTAGAACAGAATTTTTTCCAAGCGTTAGTTCTAGCTTTATTTATTTCCATTTTGTACATATTAAACTCTTTTATGTAGTTTTGTTTTTTAAGATGTTTCTGATTTATGTCTGTCTCCTTTCTAAAAATTTTATATAATTTTCTAACCTTCTTCCTTTGTGTGTTTAGAAAAGGAGTCCACCATGGTGCATTATTGCATTTTACAGTTTTGATT